GGCTTCCCCATTTGATTCCAATTTAATCAATTTTACCAGAGCAATGGTGCTCCTAATCTCATTGGTTGACTTAGTTTGGTCCCACTTCATGCCCACCTAAGCGAGTTCTCATGTCTTCACCACCTTAGACCCGCTTCACCACATGATGTCTGGAAGAGACAGCTTCCCCGTTCCACCTGTGGGGGGGGGGCTCCTGCCCCCCTCTCTGCAAAGCGAGCTTTCTTTCCCCCCAATAAATATATTCTGCTCATAACCTCCGTCTGCTCCTCAAATCCACTCTTCGGTTTTAGAGCACAGGAGCTCTTGGGAGGTCATTCTTCCCCTATATCATTTGGAGGTCCTCCACCCGAGATCAGTGTTTCCCCTGTCATGACCGGTCTTCCCATTGCCCCCCTACCCTGCTCTCAGGTATTGTGTCCTTCATTGTGGCCTCAGCGCCTCTTCCAGTCTGTATTCGTACACACTGAAGAATTCTTTCTTTTTTTTGGCTGGCTCAGGCTGCCTCAAGAGTCGCTTTGGTGCGGCTTGTGGTGCTGGGGATCAAACCGCAGACCCTCACCCAACTGATTTTGCTCGAGAAGGCACTTTAGACAACTGAGCTAACCTGCCATCCCCTTCACTACACATTGAATATCAACAAGGAAACCTCAATACTGAAGACGTACTGCGTGTCGGACACTTAACAGTAACAATTCTCACAACCACCTCAGAGGCCAGTACTATCTGCATCCCATTTTATGCGTAAGTAAGCAGAACTACGGATGGGCCCAATAACAACTACGTGCTGCGATGCAGGCCTTAGGTGCAAGCAAGGCAGCTGGAGTCCGGCTCTCTGCAACATCAACGAATAACTCCGTCACCAGATAAGGGAAGCAGCACCAACTGCCATCGAAAAAAAATGGAGGAGCATTCTTACAAATGTTCTTTCCATTGAGAAAATATTAGTATGTTTAAAGTGATTTTTTTTTTAAAATGTTACCACTCATCATCAGATCTTTAAGCCCCAGTACCCGGGCCACCTGGAACCTCCGAAAAGGGACTAAAGGGACACGTGGTTTGAACTGCGTCATTCCCATCGCACGCGCTCACGACTGTAACCTATCAACTTGCACACTTCCTGAAAGGCCAGGAGAGAACCCGACCCGGACGGAGTCCCGGACTCGGCTCAGATCCGACCCAGGACTCGCCCAGGAGGAGGGAGCTCCACGCTGCTCGCCCATGCCCCATCCCGGCATGCACCGCAGGCCCGGGCGACCACACCCCCGGCGAGCTCCAGGGAGCGCGTGTGCGCCCCGCCGCCCGGAAGCCGCTGCGCGGTGCATGCTGGGAGTTGTAGGCCCTTGCCCCGGCCCGCGGGCGGCCGTCCCACTCTCCATGAGGCAGCTGGCGCTGGCCCGCGCGGCACCGACGCGGGGAGCGCGCTTCTCGCTGACTCAGCGGCGACGGTGGCGGTGGCTGGAGCCGGCCCTCGCGCTCTTTCCCTTCCTGGGGCGCCGACCCCGCCCGCCTGCTTGCTAGCCGCCTGCTTGCTAGCCTGCCTGCTCTGCGCCACGCAGGAGAAGGCGCAGGGGACGCGGAGCGCGGGAGGCGCGCGGCCCCAGCCCGCTC